TGGAGCTGTCACAGGATCTACAGTTTAGGAAAACTGCCTTGAAAATCAGTGTGACTACTTAAATTTCCCCTCACTTCATGGCTTCATTCCTTTTGGAGCCCGTCTCTGGAAGGATACTCTACATACTGCTTATCTAAGCTGACAGTGATCAGTCTGTGCATGACTGAAGGAGCATATACGGGAAGAAAATGGCTTTAGAGAGAGGAAGCTTTTCTTGCTCAGTTTACATTCAATTTAGCACTTGAACTTCTTCCCACTTGTCTCCTTGGATCTCATAATTTTTCTGGCTCTACACTTTTAATTTTTTTCCTTAGCAAGTACAAGACAGGCATTGGCCTTCTTGGCTGACATGAATGCCACGCCTAGGAGAAGAATCTCTACTATAACAACTTCTATGATGAAACAAAAATCTTCAGATAAACCAAAGAGATATATCTTAATGCCTGCAAAGACGTCACCTACTCCTCTGTCTCAGAAAAAGAGAAACTGAGATGTGGACTGTGATCTTGCCTTCCCCTGTGGTGGGGAAACACCAGGCAGGGACTCCGAGGCATGAGAAAATCTCAGCCTGGCCTAGAGCCATCATGAAATTATTTAGGTTGGAAAAGACCTTTACAGGCAGGGTTTCAGTAGATGCTAAAACTGCTGGGAAGCCTCTTCCCACTCTATGCACTTTAGACATCACGAAGCTTCTCCCAGCCCCAAAGGCCTTAATCCAGGTCAGGGCTGTTTTCTAGAAAAACAGATTCTCACTGGAAAATTGGTTCCTGTTTGATTGGGTTTTCTTCAATGAAAGCAATAAGCTGCTGTTACCACTTTTTCCTTTCATAGCACGAAATAGTTTATAAAGTGTGAAAAACAGCCTGCATCTCATTAAGTAATACAGGCTGTTGTAAGAGTTGGAATGCCACCAGAGACGTGAAAGTTGGGCAATTACAGACTTATTTGAGGGATGACAGGTCTGAATATGCTTTCATAATCCAGGCAACAAACACATAGAAGTATGTATCCATGGTTTTTCCGGTCTTCCTTCTCACTTTTTAACCATTTCAGGATGTACTGCATTTATTTTAGAAATGAGGGCTCTGTAAACACCTTGAACAACCTACCAAGAAGATGGCTTCTACCACTCCAGCATGTGTGGGGAGCGTGCCACTGATGGCAGGTCAGTACAGACACAGCACTGACAAAGGAGCTGGGTCCATATTCTGAATTCTGTTGACACAATGGTTTTCTTTCTTGTAATTCAGAGACAAAATTGCCAACATATGTAATCAGTGCCCCACTGTATCAGCTGTGTGTATGTCTGTCTGCCTCCCAGGAAAGGCTGTTTTAAACTCCCATCACCAGGTCTCTGAAAAATTCTTTGGAGATCCTAATTTCTATCCATGGATAGGGATAGTGATTTTATTTCCAAAAATTAATGCATTTGATATATCATACAGAAGATAATTCACAAGACACAGACTTGTCAATTCTCTGTGTGTATAAGTTTTAATTGCCATCCCTCATCTTTGGGTCATAGGGCTAGCCCCCTGTGGTGTCACACAACCCCAGCACCACTGGACCTCTTTCACTGGTGACACAGCCACACACTCACTACTGCAAAAGCAAGACTGACCAGTCTATCAGTCTCTATGTGCAGGGATCATAGACCCATAGAAGGGTTTGGGTTGCAAAGGACCTTAAAGCTCATCTCCTTCCAGCCCACTCACCATGGACAGGGACACCTTCCACTAAACCAGGACCTTGTCCAACCTGGCCTTGAGCTCTTCCCAGGGGTGTGATCGGTCACAGCGAGGGGTGTCACAGAGTGCTGTGCCTCAAAAGCTGCTTGTCCCAACCCTAAGGTGTCCTTGGTCACCAGCAGTGGCCCAGAGCAGCTGAATCTCCTTCACAGTGGCCTGTGCTGCTGTCACCCTTGAAACCCTTGTGCTGTAGCCCGGAGTTGCTTTGCCTCTTTTGTGGTTTGTCTGTGAATGCTAGTTGTGTGATGCACTGATTAACCAGCGTGTCCAGCCAGGGCTTGCCTTCAGTGCTGCCAGACCAGGGCAGCCTTTAGCAGGGCAGGGTTATCCCAAAATCATCCCAATCCACAGGCTGTGCAGTGTGGGGCTGCCCATGGGGAGGGGAATGTGTACTGGTTGGGCAGCAGAATGAAGAAGACACAGAGGGGTTGCTTGGCAGTTCCAGTGCGCAGCACATGCCCTGCCAGGGATGAGGATGCCATCAAGTGGCCAAAGCTTTATATTCACTTCCACTTGATCTTCATGACTTTATATTTATGTTATATATATATATATATATATAAAATATGAATTTATATTATTTAGAGTAACTTTCTGCCCTCTGCTCCCTTTCCACACCAAGTTGCCCATGGCTCTCCCTGACAACTCCTTCTGGCAGGTGTGAGCTACAAGAGAGTTTTGTCCAGACAAATCCTGGGCTCCAATCTCAAAGTTGGTTTAATTGGATGAATAATATAATGAAATATCACTGTGCAACTCCAACATGGGTCTCAGGGCTTTACACCCAAAGAGCACTGAACAGATCAAACCTGGGCAACATGAGGGCAGGATCATGCAGATACACACCTTGTTATGAACTCATCAGTTTAATTCTTTCATGATCCATTTCACATTATGCAGGCAGATGAACATACCATTTATTTGCATTAAAAAATAGTCTGCCTAAGTATTATCCCTGGAGACATATGATATTATCCATCTAAAAAACATGTTTTACATACATGCAGTAAAAAATAGGCAACATGAAAAGGATGAATCCTTAAATGCAGCCAGCAACAAATACTTGTGTGAAGGATCATCAATTTTTTCCATATTGTTTATTAAAAACTGTTCCATGTATCCTAAAGAGGGTCAAAGTCACTGTGAGCCTTTTGAGATGAAGCAACACCAGCTGTTTCTTCCCCATTTTAAGGCTGGTTCTGGAAGCACCCATACTTCTGTGATGAGGAGCACAAAGAAGGTGACCCCATTTCCAAGTACAGCTCCAGACCCAAAGTTTTAGGCACTTTCTGCTGTGATCTTCAAGTGTTGTGACCAATTCCCCCATTCATCCAGGGAAGAGGACATAGGAGTTTCTCTTTCCTACCCCTCATTTTATGGAAGAAAGCTGGACAGCTGTTCCACATTGTCTTCATAAACCTTGTTTTGAAGGCATCTGCTGAAACTGCAAGCACTGGGCTTTTCCCCCAGAGCTCTTCTCCAGAGGAAGAGCTGTTCCTCTAGAACATTTCCCAGATAAAGTGTTGTCCTACATTATTCCCGCATGTCATGTGTCCCTCTGCATGTGAGCCTCTCCTAACAGTGCCACCAGAGTCCTCTTGTCACAGCAAAGCTGGTTCTTCTTGGGCTTTGGCATCAAAAGCTCCATGCTTAGAAAATAAATACTAAGGATATTTAAGAGCATAAAGAGAAAAAATCATGATGTAAATGATCTTGGAATAATTGAGATGCTGAGGTAGACCAAAGAGAGACTGGGCCTGCCCCAGTGCTCTCAGTGGCATTCCAGCAAAGAGCTGGAGGTCTGAAGCATATTGTGTCCTAAAGAGACTTCCTTTGGTGATGGTCTGCTCCTGGCTACAAAGAGATGTCTGCAGGTTTTGGCAGCTGGCAAGTCATGTCAGGGAGCTCAGAAGGTCTAATGAGATAGCTCAAGCTAGTCCCTGAAGGGCTGCACCAGGCAAGCTGTGTAAATTAATAGGCAGCCTTCTATATGAAATGCAAACTTGGTTTATTGTTTTCTGTATTAAAAAATAAAAATTAGTCTCTGAATTTAACATCCTCCTGTTTCCCAATTCAATTTATACTTTGGATAACAGACTGAAGTTGTTAAAGCCTTTACATTTTTCATGATAATGTGTTAAATTGTGCCAAACTCTGTTGTAGAGCACACGTGTCTGTATGGGAGGAGTCACCCACTTCTTTGAACCTGAAAGCAAGCTAGGATTTGGTGGGAATCCAGAAGAAGCACCTGTGTACCCTCTGCATTTCCTCCTTTCCTTGTTCACCAAAGAAGATGAGTGTTATAACGCCGTGTTGTACAAAAGACTCTCCCTTGGTGATTTGCGGTGGGCTGGGTTTGGGTACATCCCTTGGGAAAGGGAAGTTCTTTTCCTGGTTCAATACAAAAACTGCCATTGGTGAAGAAGCCTACTATCACCACCAGAATTACTAAAGTGCTCTTAGTCAACAGTGAAAGATTTGATAATAAAATAGTCTTTGGGTCTGATTGAGCTGGTGCCACTTTCGGAGTGCTCCATGGACCACGTGTCCACAGCAGCTGCTGTAGGTGCAGGGTGGGAGTCTTCGGTCAGAGCAGCTGAGCCCTCACCAACACCACACGGCTGATCTGGCTCAGGAAGGCAGGAGACTTTCTGGTCTTCTTGGCAACACTTTTGAAATAAGAAAGAAGGAGATTTATGAAGTACTGCAGAAAATGGCAAAGATGGCCAAGAAAAATCTTGAGTATCTAGCTACTAAAAAAGTTTCTTTAATCAGATATTTTTAATGCTGGTCCTTTATGCAACTCCAAGTTACTGAGGGAAGGAGTGAAAAAATGACTTGATAGTCAAGGCACTTTGAAAGAGCTTAATTTCATATCTTTGGGGCTGGAACAAGTGAGGAAAGAATACTGTGCAGGAACTATACTAAAAATGATATTTCAAAACTTACAAAATATTAGCAAATAATCCCCTTTCAAATTTTTATTTCTGATTGATATTAATTAAAATAATCTCAACAGTCAGAACATATTACATCTCCAGGAGATGTGGACTGAAACTAAAATCCTTTGGCACATTTGCAGTCTGCTCTGAATCCCGCAGACCCAAATTGTGTTTGGCTATTCAGGTGTAGGCCCACCCATGTAAGTTGTATGATTTTCAGAGGATCTCTACAATTGCAACTCTATTTGACTAAAAGATTAATTCTGTAATTTTAATAAAGCTAGAGGGTCTTTATGTGCTGACCTGGAAGTTAGGGATTGGTCTCAGTTTGGTATCTTTTCATTGCTTTGAGAGAAAGTTCATAGCCAAGAAACATGGCTGCACTCGAGGGGAATCCTCTTATTGTGTTGACCAGGAGGCCCCTAAAAAAGACCTGTTGGGAATGGAGCAAGGTTAGAGCACAGGAATATATGGACTATTTTAAGAAGAGAAAGAAAACATTGAATGAAATCGTGGTAGGATTCTGAAGGACCAAATCTTTTGGGTTTGCTTGGAAGATACGCTCCTATTGCTGGTCTTGGCTGATGTCTGCACTGAGGAAGGGGAGCACAGTGGCAAAAGTCACTGGTTTGGCATCATTGTGCTCCTCAGTACAAACACCACACCCTGGTGTCTGTGAGAGCGTGCACAAACTGCTCACTTTGGGGTGAGTCTGCTCACAGTGTGATGGTTCCAGGAGGGATCTCTGCTGGCTTACTTCTTACATAATCACTCCATTAACCACCAAGGCTCATCACCACAAGTCACTAATCTAAACACCCCAAGTTCAGAATAGATGTGAAAAGGAACATCAACAATCAAACAATTTTCCAGGCTTTATAACAGCCAAGTTCCCACAGCTACTGTAAAAAAACATGAAAAATCTTGGCCCCAAGATCAGAAGGCCTTAGATTTAAGCATATAACCAATTTTCCACACCAAGTGGAAAGCACAAGGCAGGTACCTTTGAGCCTGTGCACCCTGTCCCCCATCTGACTGTCCAAGCACAGTCCTTAGCATCTCTCCAGGTGCTTGTGCTTCACATGAATGTGACTTTCTTCACTCAGTGGCAAAAGCTGAACCAGACCACAGGCTCCTGAGACAGCTGGCATAACATAGTGGCATGTTGGCAAATACTGAAATTACAGTGATTTGTGATTTTTCAGGTTATTTTCCTGTTTGCAACTTGTTACATTTCTCTCAGAATGTGAAAATTAACACTTTGGATCTACGAGACCACGTGCTGTTCTGATGATAAATACAGATTTATTTCAATATCAGAAGACGTTACTTCCACAACCATGCCTTGGCAACACAATAAAGCTGCAAACCCTTATTCTCTGCCATTCACATTTAACTGAGGCAAAGTTTGCAGGCAGAACAAATATCTTTTATTGCACTAACAGACAAAGTCAGAAAAGGGAGATAAGTTGTTTGGCATGCAGCCCTTCTTCATGTTCGAAATGAAAGCAATTCTGATATAAGAACGCTGACATTCAACTCTATCTTGGTGCAAAATGAGGGCAAGCAGTGCAAAAGCAGCATTAGTTCCACCAAAGCATTGCCCAAGGTGACCAGACACACCCAGAGTGCCAGGACAGTCCCACTGAAATCAGTTTATTGACACCAAAGTCAATGGGAAATATTTGACCTCTGCATTTTTCAGAAGAATCACAGAGGTAAGACTTTCTGCCTCTGATTTATGATAAGTCAAATTATATCCATGATTAAGTGCACTAACATGAAATGTTGAAGTTAATTACACCAGCAGTGTATGACCCCTCCAGTCATTCATTTCTTCGTTATGTAACATGTATTATAACTCTCATTTTGATTTAGGAGGAATCTACACAATAATTACCTACTGCCATAATAACAATTTAGCACTAACTGGCTTTAGCTGTCTCTCAACACTGCAGATAGGTTTTTAACAGTCACTGTATTTTCCAATTGACAATTAAATACCTAATAACCAGATTTAACTTCAAATGTCACTTACTTTTAAGCCCTCATTCTGGTAGCTCTGCAACATGCAGTCAAGGGTCCCTTTGTACTGGTTTAAATAAACTCCATCTGCCTGAATTCGACTTTTCACAACATCCATTGGAGTACATACTGCCCAGGAAACAGCTCCTGGAAAAATGCAGAAGTAGTTGAATAATTCCTTCTCTATACTTCCTTGCCCACAGGTCAGTGAACTCAGAAATTCACATCTATCACATCATATCCATGCGATTTTCATTCAGGGCATTCACCCTGCTCAGGCACAGAAACTATTTCTGGGAGAAAGTTCCCTGTTTCTGGAAGGTGTTCAGATTTTGGATGTTATGCTGCTGATCAGATGCAGGCAACACAAGAGGGGCTTCTCCAGGTGCAAATACATTTTTTGCTGTGCTCCTGATGGAACATGGACATGCCATGGGAAGAGCCTGAACTGCTGCTTGGGGCGATTTCAGAAAAAAAAAATTAGTCTTATAATTCCATTGTAAAGCAAAGTGTGAGCTGAGGATACAAATAACAGGTAGGTGCATCTCAGGCTGCCAGGATTAGGCTCCACGCAGTCATTCCTTCAAAGAAATGCCTGTTTCCATTGATCAGCCTGCAGCTGAGTGGGATAGTTTGCCTCTGGAAACATCAGTACATGACTGCAATCCATGGCCCAGCTGGAGAGACAAGAGTTTGTCTGGAGCTACATGAGTGTTGGGGCTAGAAAAGCTATCCAGAGGCACCAGGGGCCTCTTTATTTGAGGATAAATGGAGAAGGCATTTTGTTGTCATTGCCTGGGCTAAGGATTGACTTGTCTTTATGGATCTGCAATTTAGAGATGACCAAGAAGTGGGGAGTGGGAGTAGGGGTGACCTTTCACATGGTGGGAGCACGCATGCCAGTTTTACTGGCAAGGGTACATATGGAAGAAAGAAGAAGAAAGAAGAAGAAAGAAGAAGGAGAAGAAGAAGAAGAAGAAGAAGAAGAAGAAGAAGAAGAAGAAGAAGAAGAAGAAGAAGAAGAAGAAGAAGAAGAAGAAGAAGAAGAAGGAGTCAACAGCAACAGTCAACTGGGCTTCTGCTAGGTGTGGGTAGATGCACACCCTCCTGGTGGGCAGCCAACAGGTTGAAGTCCTCTTCTGGAGGCATCTTGGCTGCCACATATCCCTGGCAATGTGATTGGCAAGCTGCCCTGAGGCACACAGGGAGATGAAGGCGCTGTCTGTTCTCCTCTTCACTGACAATGAGCCTAAGGAAGGTCTGATAACACGACTTCCATAAAGTTTATCAAGCCATAAAGTGCAGCTGTGGTGCCAGGGAACCCAGCCCTGGGGAAGGAAGGTTCAGTCCCATGTCCTCTGCTGGTGTTCAGGAGGATGCAGTGGCCCTTGAGTCACCCTCGTAATCTGCCCCGAGAACCTTCCTGTTCTTGTTTTGCCCGTGCTGTGAGGAAGTAAAGGTGCTTACCTGCTACACCCCCTGCCACCCAGATGGAGAAGGGATTAGGAGCAATGCTTCCATGAGGAGTTATCCAGTCACAGAACATTGCATACGGGACAAAATAGGCGCAGTAGCCAGGAACATCCCTCAGGAGCATTGCTACATTGCCTCTGTATATTCCTGGTATCCCCTCTTTCTGTAGGATTGTCCGTAAGCAGTGAATTGAGCCTCTGTACACAGGAGATCCAGGAGCTGTGGAATTTAGTTTAACATTTGCTACAAAGAAAAAAAAAAAAAAAGATAAAACTGTTGGAATAGATATATTGCCACAGATTAAATCTAATCAAAGCCCATTGCCACTGATTAGAAGTCACTGCCATCCAGTTGCTTCAGGTGGGGTCAACAGATAACATGGGGAAAAAGTTTTAGGAGAGAGTATTTAGGTCCATTTTCAGAAAACCTGACACTTCAGACAGATTTTCTTGATGTGTGGCATACCTCCCAATAGGTATGTGCCCAGTGAGACTTCCAAATTAGTTTAAAGCAATGTGCCAAATTTTCATGGATTTTAACTTCAACTTATGCCAAGTCACACCTCTGAAAGCCTTAACATCTTCAGAGTCTGGCCTTTCCCATGCAGACCAAGTTGTTTTTGTAAAAGGCATTAGGTTTCTAAGCTGCATGGAGGCTTTAAAAATTGACATAATATTGTTTTATAAAAGCAACAGAAAAATGCCAGTGTTTCACAGTTAAACACCATGACTGTAATTGTGAGAAAAAGTGAAATGCTGAAATCCAAGCTGTTCAGCTCTGAAGCTGCTCCATGTCTTCATTTGGCTGTGCATGTGCTCTGGTGGGGATTGCTCCTTGCTGGCAGCCTGCTATGGAATTCAGCTGCTGTCTAAAGCTGAAGCAGCTCCTTCTGCCTTGTGGGGACAAGGAACAGCCACCCACTGCCATTCTGCTGGTGTCCCCTCCTGACCCATCCTGCTCACACCTGAGCTATCTGGCACCCTGTGTGAAGTAAGTCAGTTTTTAATGTAAATGGGAAACTTCTGCTTTTGAACAGAGAAGGGTGGAATAACAGAGGTTTATGGGCAAATACATGTGGGACTGAGAGTGTGCAGAGGGAGATGGGGAGCTGGCATTGCCACTGGCAGCCATGGTGCTGCTGCTGGGATCTCCAGGGGACCCCACAGCCCAGGGACTCACAATTTCTGCAGCTTCTGGCCTTGAGCAGACCTGCCTCATGTTCTTTATAGATCCCAAATGTCTGGAAATGCCATTGTTAAAAACCCTTCCCTTGAGCTGAGCAAGATGGGATCCATCCTCAGGCAAAAGGGAGAATTTTTAGCCCAACTGCAGCAGCACAAGGCAGAAAAAAGCCCAGCCTTGACCAAAGTCATAAAGCTCTGTGCACGTACCAGACTGGCAGAGACAGGAAGACGAAACTCTTGCTTCCTACCTTTGGTGTACGGCTGTGTTTGCATCTGCAGCCTTATCTTGACCAGTTCCACGGGCGTGCCAATGCCCACAGAGATGACCCCAGCCACGAGGCTGGCCAGAGTCATGTCGGTGAGCGAGGGCGCGGCGGCCGGGTCCCCGTGGCGGAGCTGGCTGAGGAGCCGCTGCGTGTTGCTGAAGACTCCGAACACCACCGAGCTGTAGATGCCAATGCTGGCCATTGGGAAGGACATGCCCTTGAAGAAGCCTGTCAGCTACCCAGGAAAGGGAGCAGGGCTTAGGAGACTGAGCAGGACTGAGCAGTGTAAACCCCAACTTGTCTATCAGGTTAGAAATCACAGTCGCACAATGGTTTGGGTCGGAAAGGACTTGGAAAGTCGTTTCATTCCAATCCCCTGCCATAGTCAGGGATGAAATGCAAATCCAAGTAGCAGATGTCTCCTGGAACCAACTGTTTGCACATGCTGAGCAAAGGAAATTGGTTCATGCTGCTAAAGGCTTATAAAGATTGCGCAGAATATGGGACATGGCTGAAAGCACAGGAACCCATGTAGAACTGCCTCATATAGACAGTGTTTGTTCTGGCTTCACCAAAGTCAGCAAAATCCTTCTGGAAAACCTCTGCCAGTGGGATCAGGCAAAAGAGTCACTGTGGATGGCAACCCCTGTGGAGACACTGATCATTCCATGCCAGGGATCTCCCTTTTCCTATAGGAGTCACCAAGTGGTGACTTAACCTTAGAGTTAAGCAAGAGAAGGCTGAGAAGGCTGTAGGGATTTGCAGGCTCAATTGCATAAACTTTATTGGTCTTTATATAACTGCTGGTGTCAACAGCATTTTGTACAATTGCTTTATGCATTTATCTATTTATTGACTTGCACTTTATACCAGCACAGTTAATGTAGGATGAAGTACTTACAGACTCATTTCTGTACACAGTGAGAACACACTTGAATGTATTTCCATATCCTTGTCCCGCTTGCAAACGAGTCTGCAAAAGACATTTGTAAAATGCAATTAAATCCTATGTTTCCAGCCCAGTGGAGGCTCATGCTATGTAAACAATGTGTGCTTTGCTTTGAGAGCAAGTCCTTCCTTAGTCGTAAAGACAACTGAGCAATAAAATAAGATATATGTGCATCCACCCTCTTGAACTTTGCCAGAAGCAAGGCTAAGCAGGATCTCACAGCCTGAAGCTCTCTGCAACATCTGGAATCGATGACTGTCAAATTGCTCTCCAGCCTGGACCAGCCACCCTGACCCAGCACAGCAGGCTGCTGGTGTGCAGTGCTGTCATTGGCAAGGGCCTGATTTATGTGGAAATTGGAGAGTGCTGTGGTCTTCTCCATTTGGAGGCTCTCAGGGAAGGCTGGGATGTGTTGCAAAGAGAGGAAAGGTGAGCTCCCCTGGGAGACTTCTGGGGCCCTTCTGCTCCAAGGTGGATTTTAGGACATAGAGATACTAATTGGAGCTAAAATAATTCAGCATCTCAGAAATTCTCCATGCTTCACTCAAAAACAGTTTCATATTATTTGAAAAAAGGACATTTTATTTCTGGAAAGCAAATTGGTTATACACCTTCCAAGAGATGTAAGAAATGGCACGTAGGTCACAACAAAGCCTACAGGATTAAGCATTTCCCCTTCTCATATGTATATATTTAGATCATCTTTAATTCAAGCTGCTCACAAGGTTGCACTAGAAACATCCTAACCAGGGATGCATTTTTTGGGCTTAGAGGTGTGCAAGGAATGAAATCACTGTTCACTTCACAGCACCTCAGGCTTCATCTTGGCTGAGGCCAGAGCTCATTTGCTATAGAAAGACACACATGCTCCACCAGGAATGTTTTTAGGAAATGGGGACATTTCTGACTATGTTTATCAGCACTGCTGCTGGCAATGAAGGCTGAAGGGGCACTGCCAACCTGTGCTGGAGGGATGGCATCCAATCCCATCCACTGGCTCAGCCCTGATTTACACCAGAGTGAAACAGGAAATAATTTGGGAATTTAAAGCCCAAAGGAATGTGTGTCTGCCAGAGTTCATGACTGGTGGGAGCTTTTGGATGGCAAACAGCAGGTTGGATGGTACAATCACTTGGCCCAGAGCCCTGCAAGAGGCTGCCAGTGCTGCCGAGGGACCCTGGCAGGAGCAGGAGGGACCAAAGTCTGTGTTCACCCCTCAGCCCAGGCTCACCCCTCACCCTGGGGTGGCTCCATGCAGCTCTTTGCACCCATGGACCATCCCTGCTCCACTCCAGGCCTGGCCAAAACCACAGAGAAGCAGCAGCCAAAGCAGAATCTCTCCTGAGCACTCAGAACAAGCTGGTACATGCAGCTGCTGCCATGGCTCACGCAGCACACGTTGAGCAATGTGGGCAGGCTCAGGCCATGGGTGCAGTGACTCACACTGGGGAGAACAGGGCTGGGGGGGAGCAGGGGAAAGTGGCTGCACTCACAGGGCTGGGGGGAACTGGGGAAAGTGGCTGCACCCTGAGTGACCCATGACAAGGTGACCCCAGTGCCCAGCCCTGAGTTCCCTCCTGACTTCATCTTAGCCCAGACATTTCCACTTTGCCCCCTTGGATTGTGGGTTGTTTTTTTTTTTTTCTTTTACTCAGTAACCAGGTATTTAGAGGTTCAAGTTAATATATTTTTGAGTAACTGGGGCCAACTGAGTGTTCTCACAATCTGGTTCTCACACACGTCCCTTAGCTAATCTGTTAACACCCAGCACTGAAATCCCTGCTGGCATCTGTGACAAAGTCAGCTACTACCAGTATGGATATACCCCTGGAAAGTTCTCCTTTTTGTTATGTTTTGATTAGATAGGGCTCTTGGGTGACACCCAGAAGCTGAAGAAAGTTCTGGGAAAATGAATGCAATGGGTAGGATGAAAAGTGAGTGAAGGCACAAGTTTTAGAGTTTTGCAAAGATATAGGAAAAAACAGCTGCTGGGGTTTGATGGAAGCTGCAATGATGGGAAGAGGTGGCTGAAGGTGGAAGAGGTGACTTGATGGGAAGCGTGGTGTAGATGCCAATTACCCCACAGAGCCTTATACTCAGTCCTGCCTCTTCCCCCAGATGGGGAAAGACACCTGATCCCCTGGAGGCTGCAGATTCTGCTGAGCAGCCCCTTTGCTGACCTAGTGCTGTGTAAAAACTCTCCTTTCCCCTTTCCTGCTCCTGAATTTGGAACATAACAAGTCTGCCTACTGGGTATTCCCAAGGCAAAGCCTTGCCCATAGCCAAGAGCAACAGAGGGGGCAGCTTGACACTTGTCTTTCTAACCACTGAAGGATGGGCTTGCTCTTTCTTGGCATCCAAACTCGATGTTTCTGAGCAGGATTCTCATGGCCAAATTCCCCCAAGCCAGGCAATGAAGCCATGGCCACCAGCCTGAGATGGGGATTGCCTTGGCAGTGCTGGGCAGAGCCTGCCTTTGCTGCCTGTGCCCTGCCCATGGCTGGGTGGTGTGGGCAGCCTTGTGGCTCCTCCCGCGTGGGGTCTGCACCCACCTTTGCACAGGGATGCCCTTGGGGCTGGTATCACTTTAGCAGCTCAGAAAGAATAGGGCTGGCTGGCATCTCCATGCCAGGAGAGCCTGGTGTGTGCAAGGGGATGGCTGTGATGGCTGGGGAGGGGATGTGGTGTGGGCCATGCTGGGCCCTGCCTCCTTGGCATCACCCTCCAAAGGGTGGAGGGTGCAAACATGACCAGTGGCTCTTGGATTTGCCACAGCTGGCAGCCCTGCCTGGTGCCAGAGCCAGGCTTGAACCAGAGCAGGGAACTCAGAGTCACAGAATTGCAGAATAGCTCGAGTTGAAAGGGATCTTTTAAGGCCATCTTGTTCAACCTCCCTGCAGTGAGCAGGGACATCTCCAATAGACCAGGTTGCTCAGAGCCCCATCCATCCTGCCCTTGAATGTTTCGAGGGATGGGCATCCCGCCACCTCTCTGGGAAGCCTGTGCCTGTGTTTTACCACCTTTTTTGTATAAGACCTCCTATATCTAATCTAAACCTATTCTCTTTCTGTTTAAAACCAGTACCCCTTGTCCTATCACAATGGGCCCTGCTAAAAATCCTGGTTTTATTTTAGACCCCCTTCAAGTACAAGAAGGCCACAATAAGATTTCTTTGGAGCCTTCTATTCTTCAGGTTGAACAACCCCAACAAGGGCAGAGAAGCTAAAGTGATGAAAGCTGCCCAGAAATGCCTGGGCAAAAAAAAAGAAAGGAGCAGGATTGTCCTCCCTGGCTCTGCAGCAGTAGGGATTGTCAGCTTGGTTGAGTCAGGATGCACTGGTATGTGCATGGGCTTGTCTGCATCATGCTGACAAATACCTTTTTACTTCTCTAAATCCTTCAGATGGAGAAATAATTACCATGAGGGAATCATAAATACTGTGTGTCACAGCCCTGGGATAACAATTTCAGAACTCTGCCCTTCCAGCATTACCGGCACTACTAGGAAAACATAAAAATGTGCCTACAGCAAAACAGTTCCCTCATTGCCCTTTGAATACTAGTCTGTGGCAAAGTTCAATAAAACATTGGCAGAACTGTTCAGTGAACTACACTCTAAGTAAGGCCAGGTTAATTTTCAGCATTAATTCTTCACAGAGGAACTTGCATGTATCAGTCAGTTCTTTCAGTTTCTCATTCAAAATGAGCATTGGAGAGGAAGAAAGTCTGTGAAAACATTCCAAACTCCCCTTTGGGAAAAGTGAAGGTCCTTTGAGGCATCATCTAGAGAGAAGGTCTGAACTGGTGGGGGTTTGGGTGGTGACATGTGAACACAGTTCAGTGTTTTACCTTGACCGTGTCCAGGGGATGGCCCGCAACCACACTGGCAATTCCTGGGGATGAAAGCAAAGTATTATGCACAACACTGAAGCTTTTGTGGCAGGAGAGGATGCAATGGGTTTAGAGAAGAGATTTCCATAGGAACAGTTGTAAAGGGCCCAGCCAGAACAATGACCAGCAGGATGCCCCTACCCTGACAACAGCTAAAAGCTGAGCTTCAACACTTTTCTGTGTACACTCTCCTGGACTCCTTCAGCTTTACATTCCAAAGGCACCAAAGGAGAATTCATGTTTGTATATCTTGTCCAGGACCAACCCCTTTTGCACTCCTGTAAGCTCACACAAATGTTTAGCCTCAGAATGGCGAGATTCCTGTTCAACACAAGGCAATGCTTTCTCCTGGCTCAGAGTCATCTCCTGACTAGCTGGTCCCATTAGCTGACTGCTAACGGGACCTGCAAATTGCTCATCCTTTGCTGTTTTAGAGCAGTTTATACAGGTACCTGTCAGAGAGGATTCAGATACAGGGGATCCTGCTCTGTCCAGTGCCATCCTGCCTTCCTCCCCATGGTTCTCTGGGGAGAAAATTGTCCCATATTCTCTTACTTTTCACCCACCTACTCACACCACTCACTGCCAGGAGCTCTCGTGGCAGCACAGAGCACAGTTTGGTTTCCCTCTTCTCCAGGAGAATGGAACACCTGTGTGCTATGGCCAGGATATAGTTTTGTGTCTGTGTTGCAAACAACACTGGCAGGTTTTAGGGTTTGTGGAGAGTGGGTAAATTGTGATGCTTCCTCACCAGTAAATCTCACTCATAGTGGATTAGCACTGAAAAGAGCATCATGTCCTTGGTCAGCACATTATGACTTTTCTAAAAATGTGTTAAAAAATGTCTCCTCTCCTCCCAGACCTGGGACCACCCATGGTCTAGTGCTATGCAGGAAAACTCTCAGCTGTCACTGCTGCAGAGCACTGGTGGCTGTTCACCTCCCAGGACATCCTGTCCCATTGCCAGGGGTGTGCAGCAACAGCACAGGGCAGTGCGGCAGAGAGAGCAACCACAGCCTACAGAGATCTAACAATCAGCTGCTCACACAAACCTTTGGCAGAGGTTTTGGGTTTTTTAGTCTGCCAACTTATTAACCTCATCTGGCAGGACACCTGTGAGCCACTTCATACCCTGCTCCTGTGTCGGGTCTGAGGGGTCACCTGAGCAGAGGTTTGCTCTGCGGTACCTGGTGACTCTGTCCTGCTGCAGCCCCGGGGCAGCGGAGCTGGCTGCCCTCTCAGCTGGCAAACCAGCGGGCATCTCTCATTCCTAAACCTTGTCCCGTTACTGACGCCTCTACGTGCCGTTTCCTTCCTTTTCTTTCTGTTATCTGTTTCCCGGAGTTTGCCATCGGAATTCCGGGCAGACAGGATCAATCCCTGCCGTGTGGGGCGGTGGGACGGCGGGGTGAGGACCCGGCAGTGGCTCCCCCGGGGATGGGGACACGGGGAGCCCGGGCTGACAGCTGCCGGCCCCCTTCCAGCTCCGGGGGCAAGGACGGGAGAACCGGCGGGAGCTGGGGGCATGCGGTGGCTTCTGGACACTGGCCCCGCACAGCAGCATCACAAGTTCTAAACTTGAATTTTAACTATGCCGCTCGTGGAAGTGGGATTAAACCGCACTTGTGTGTACCAAAGCAAAGCAAACCGTGGGAGACGCCGGGCGGAGGCACAGACCGTGGGTGCCCCGGAGGGGTTTTATCCCGGGAGGGGGTTTATCCCCGGAGGTCTTTATCCCGGGAGGGTTTATCCCCGGGGGGGGGGGGGGGGGGGGGTTGCCCCCGGGGG